AGTAAAACTAATAAGGGAAGACGAACACAAGGGAAATAAAAATGACAACAGTGTAAACATACCAAAACTCACAAAATAAAACAGGAAAGCTACTACGAACCGAGTGTGACACAATTACATTCATATTGAAACATATGTGATAATTTTCTTTCTTTGTAGCATTTTTAAGATACATGTTAGAACAGTCGTTATGCTGTTTGGATTAGGAACCAAACATTTTTGCCAAATAGTCAACTTAATACAAACTTAGAACAACAGTGAACAATTTTCAAGATTCTGATTTACAGAACAAACAAAAGTCACAAAAGGTTTCATTATTTAAGAGACAAGATCCAGTTTTTCACACAGGAAAGAAATGACAGAATCCAGTGCAGCAGGGCCAAAGGTGTGTGTCAGCAAACTGAAGGTTGAGTATTTTGAATACCAAAAAAGATACAACTTTCATATTATTTTACTAACTTACTTTGTCATATCAGCACTTGAATGGTCGATGCCTTTACAGACCATGTCTCTTGTGACATCGCAGGCCAATCTTCCAGCAAACCCAAGGGCTAGCTCCCCAGCCTTCTCTTCGCTCAGAACACTAAACATTGTTACTTTAGTTTTGGCCTTCTTAGGCCTGTACAGAATCATTGCGGGCAGTTTACGGCCCTAAAAAAGAAAAAGTGCAAACACCAAAAGAGCAGAGAGAGACGCACACACACACACAAACAAAATTAAATGCTTTTGTTTACATGGTGTAATTGTGTATATGTTGCAGCAAATGCACAATTTCCAGCCACATTGTCACTTCATTGATACGAGTAACCCGGATTTATTTCAGGTGACATCAAAATCACGAAATGTATACCTACCCCAATCAAACCTCTGAAAACATAAACTGACATGTTCTCTCGTTGATTCTGCACTTGATCTTGTCTTCTGTTATTGTGTAGGTTTTCTTTTTTGAGCTTGGTGCAGATAAGCGACCATGCACTCTGTAAACTGTACTAGTACCTTCTGAATCAGTTTGAAATTCTGTATCTGCATCGATCCTGTCAACAGCATCAGCAGCAGCATTATCTGTACTCAGACTTGTGCCGTATACTTCTGTTTCTTTTTCTTTGTCTTCAGTCTGTGTACCTTCATCTCTTTCAGTCTGTGTACCTTGATCTCTGACTGTCAGTCCTCCTATCTCACTGTTACTTGTCGGTTTGCTGCAGATGTCCTCTCCCTTAGGAACTTTTCCTTTGTCATTCGCTGCCTGATGCTTTCCCTGATGACATTCTTCGCTGGCTACTTCTATTGCTCCTCCTGTATAGCCACCTACTATGCTGCACAACTCCTTTCCCTCTGCTGTGCTGCACTGTGGTGTTACATAAAGAAGAATGATATAAACAGCACTATATCAATTTAATTGTGAAGGGAAATCCCCACAATACGACACAGTTATGTCTAAAATAGTTTTGTGTAAAAACTGGATCTTGAAACGTCCACTTTAATTACACAGTCCTGGTGTGCAAAGGCAAAATTACGAAAAAAAATTTCACTTTAAACATTTTTGGACATTGTTTAGTTATATTGTGACTTACTCTCACAGAAGAATGTTGGTTGCCTACTTGTATTATCACAGATAGGGGGCAGGTATCAATAAGAATTTATTCTTCTTCCTGCTCCTTTTCATGCATGGAAACGGTATTACTTTAATTGAAAGGAAGGTTGTGTATGGGAATGAATTACTGCTGTACCATGTGTGAAACAAAACAAAACAAAAAA